TAGCAGGGCGATTTGCTGCTGCTCCCTGAGCACTTTACAAGGGCCAGAAAAGTTCCTTATAGTTTTAATCTGATTTGAGGGGGGAAATTGAAATAATGATTTGATATACAGACGTTGATGAAAGATGTATTTTTAAAGCAGTAAATTAAAATCTCATTAATATTTCAGTGAGAATATTTTGTGCTTATCTGTTTCATCTCCATTCTTGACCTGTGGCTCCGAGTTCCCAGCATGAAGGCGATGGTGAAATCTGTTCACCATAAAATGTTAATTATAAGTAAATTGCAGCACAAACGTTCAATCAGCCACATTAATTCTACATAAAGTGAATTATTGTAGCAGAAAATTTTCAAATGTGACTGAATTTTGTAATCTGACAAGAGCCTTTAGAGCCATTCACACATTGCCTCCTAAACGGCTCTTAATTACAGCAGCCGGAGGTGGCCAAGTGGGGTAGAAAGGGGGGCCGCTTAACTGTGTGCCAGCCTCAGACCCCTTCCGGGTGACACGGAGGGCAAGCTGCAGGGAGGCCTTTGCAAAGAGGCTGGGAGGATGCACACACACCCCCCAAGCAAAAACCAAGCGACACCAAACAAATGAACTCCGAAAAGTATGTAAGCTTTCAAATGCTCCAGAGCTCTTCGGTAGAGCCTTCACGTAGGGGCCGCCGCTACCACCACCACCAACAGTGGAAATTCCAACTGGATTTGGATCACCCTGGGAAGTACAGCTTACCCTGTGTGACATCAACACCTACTGGAGAGTGGTACCCCAACGGGGCCAACTGAAGATCAGAGACGCCATCATTACCAAAGACCATCTTGCTGTGAAGCACTTATTTATTTACTGTTATATACAATTGCTGCTAAGTTTTTATTGTTTTATGGATTTTATGTATGGGCTGTAGCCCTCTGTAAGCCGCCCTGAGCCCGTTTGCGGGGAGGGCGGAGAAAAATACTTAAATAAATAATAAATAAATAGAGTGCATCTCTCACGCAACAAGCGTGTGTGTGTGTGTGTGTGGTCTTTCCTGCCAGGATTTTAAGGCCCCTGGCAGGCACCCGGGGTCAAATGCCAGGCAGGTCTGAATAGACAGAACGGTGCCTGCCGAGTGGAGCCGGTTTCAGGTTTTCTGGTAGAAGCAGCGGAAATGGAAGCCTCCCCCCCCCACTTGGAGAGAGAGAAACCTGGAGTGGGTGTGAAGTCTCTCTCCATCACCAGGAGGGAGAACCCCTGGGGGTCCCATCAAAGAGGAGTGAACCCCCCTCCCATGGGGGTGCAACTGCCCCCCCCCCACGCAGTTGGGGCCTTTGATGGCCGTGGCAGCCTTTGGAGCCTGCTGGCTGAGGTGGGGCCTGGGAGGGACATGGCCAAGGCTCTAAGCTGTGGAGTCTTGTGAGCAAAAATTCCACGATGTGAGCTCCTGGCATGAAAGTTGTGAGCGAGCGATTTGGCTAGACGGCATCAATTAGTTTGCTCTTCTGGAGCCTTCCTTCCTGAGCTAAGACAAAAATGTGTGAGCCGGAGGCTAAAAGACTGTGAGCTGGCTCACACTAACTTAGCTTAGAGGGAACACCGGACACAGCCTGCATCCTGGTCATTCGGTCTGCGGAAGGTGGGGCCAGGGAGGGCTGCTGGCTGGCCAGAGGGGCCCTGGGGGTGCCAGGGAGGGCTGCAGGGCTCTGGGCTGGGGGAGGTCACCAAAAAGCTCTGAAAGGAAACGCCATCAACCTGCCAATGACCTGGAACTCTCCCTCCCCCCCCCCCCCCCCCCCGTGAGAGGCAGCGGATGCTTGGAGCCAGCGTCTGGATGCTGCGATGGGCCGCCTGAGGACCAACAAGCGGAAGCGCAGACGAGACAAGGCTGAGGTATGGTTGGTTGGGACTGACGTGGGCTGGGCCAGTGGGAGACAGCCTCCTCTGGGCGGGGCGGGGTCGTCAGTCATCCCCCAGGAGGAGGAGGAGGTCCCAGGCTTGGGGGTGCTCCTAGATGCAGGCCCACAGTGGGAGCTGCAGATCGCTGTAGCATGTGGCACCGTCGACAGGATGGTTTGCCAGCCAACTGTAGTGTGTTCCTTGAGAAGCGGGACCAACCTTGGTCATCTATTCTCTGGTTACCTCCTGGTTAGACTACTGTAATGCTTTGTGTGTAGGGCTGCCCTTGAAGACCCTTCAGAATCCTCAATCTGTCCAGAGTGCAGCGGCAAGAACGTTGGACCGGCCCCAATTCCCACTGCTGTTTTTAAGGCCTAAAGCGCTACATGGCTGGGGACTAAGTCTTTGAAGGAACCCTTGATCCTGTCTGCTCTTGCCTAGGCCCTGAATTCTTTCATCATCACAGGTTCCCCCACGGGTCAAGTGGGCGGGTCTTTGCGGCGGCTGCACCCCAGCTTTGTAAGGTTATGCTCTTTCTTAATATGTTTCTGGCAGTCTGGTCCACGGCCGATGTCTTCCGACGGAGCGCTGTCCCTCTCTAGTAGATTTAACTCTCTGTTTCATGTCTTGCCTTGCAGCTGTGGATTGTGTCACACGAAATTGATCTTAGCAGTTGTTAGCTTGTATTGTTTTGGAAAGGTGCTGGCTTGTTTCTATTGTTTATCAGATACTGTTTGATGCCTAGGACACCTTTGGGCGGAAAGGTGGTATAGTAAGTGTCTGAAATAAATAATAAATACATAAATAGTCAAGCTACTAACCATGCCAGAGATTACGTGTGTGTGTGTGTGTGTGTGTGTTATGTGCCATCAAGTCACTTCCAACTTATGGCGACCCTAATGTCCTCATGTTAACAGCCATTCTCAGGTCTTGCAAACTAAGAGCTGTGGCTTCCTTGGTTGAGTCAGTCCATCTCAGGTTGGGTCTTCCTCTTTTCCTGCTGCCTTTAACTTTTTCTATCATTATTGTCTTTTCCAGTGACTCTTGTCTTCTCATAATGTGACCAAAGTACACTTCCTCGGAGGTCTCCCTTCTAAGCACCCACCCTGCTTAGCTTCCAAGATCTGACCAGGTCAGGCTGTACCCTCCCGTCTCCCCTCCCAGAAGATTAAATACCCGAGTTTAAAACCAGGGACTTCCTGCTCTTCTTCACTCCCCACCCCCCGGCAATGGTAGAGCTGTTCTACAATGCTGAGTGTTGGGGTGGGGCCCCATGCCAGAAGCCCTTGAAGCAAGTTGAGGAGGGTGCGCTTCCCCCTGTCAGAACCCACAGCTAACAACGAAGTACACGCATTCAGGAACGGTTATACTTTTATTGCAAAGCTATAGATGCAGTAACACAGGCCCTGTTAAGAATGGCCACAGCCAGTAGAGCATAATAGGATATAGAGTATTCGTAGCCCCCCCCCCCATGGCATTGGCAAATTAGGCACCCTCCCGCACGCGGGATAAGTCAGGCAACCGTTAGGTGGCTAGAGCTGAGAACTCGGAGTCTCTCACGGTACATAGGAGCTCTCCAGACAACACAACCTCCTCCTGCACATCTGTAGAGATAAGCGTTTCAGCACAGGCAGAACAGCAGGGATAGGAATGCAATAGCAATTAACAGACACAGAATGAACTCCCCAACCCCCATGGCAGCATAGCTGACACCCCACCACCGGCCCCACCTTTTCATCCACGCCCAGGACACTTCTGTTCTCACATGGCTCCCTTGGCTTAGCATCCGGGGAGCCAATGAGTGGCGAGGAACTCAAAAGCTGCTTTGCAGTGTGGCAGGAATTGACTTTGGGGGTTGCACTGGGCGGCACCTTGTCAGTTTGTGTGTGTGAGGAATAAGATCAAAATGGGTGAACAGCTTGGGTCTTCCTTTCCCCAGAAAAGACGGGGGTGGCCCTGAGAGCAGGGGGCTTTCAGGTGCGCTTTCAGATATGGAGCCCAGCAAAGGCTTAGGAGAAGGACCCGGCAGAGTCTTCTGAAAGGTCTGTTTTCCAGGAAGTGGCGTGGTTGGCAAGCGCAATGAGCACGGGGGGCAGGCCCACGGATCAGGCTAATGGTCTCATTGTATGTTACTTTCCGGGTGGCAAATGTGCAGCTCAGAGCGATGCGCTGTGCCGTGCAGTGCCCAGGAGAGGTTTTACTCTGAGGGTGAACGCCAGGCAGTAGTTCAACATCTGCCAGGTTTGCGTGGGATGAGGTCCAGGGTAGCTTTTATCTTCTAGCACGAGAACCACCTGCGCAAGCGGAATATTTCTTCTACTGATATCTTCCAAGGGTGGGTTGGTTGCTTTGGTTGCCTTAAATTCTTTGTGATCTGTGTGATCTTTTGAGTTCACAGGGGTGATTGGCTAGCTCTAAAATTTCCCTAGCAGAGCAGCCAGATGTTCCCAGATGTTTCCTGTGCTTCCTGGCTGGATCTCTGGTGCACGTCCCTTTCTAGGCAGGATCCTTCCTATTTCCATTCCAGCGGAGGATCTCGTTTGTCAAACAAGTAGTCAAGCAGAGAGGCTTCCGTTTGCAATTCACGTCTTTCTGCTAGTCCTGCACTGAGTTCTAATTCTGGTAGCTGCAACCGTGCAGTCCTCTTGCTGCATGCAAACCCAGGTTTGACATCTGTCTCTGATTTTTCTTCTTAATTTTAGTTTAGCAGGGCTGTAGTTTGCATGAATAAAGCTTTCTAATTTAATTTCTGCACCTCTCCTCACCCGCTGCCATTCCCGTGTAATATCTCGGCCACGTGCACCACATCCTCCTGATGTCAACCTAATGAGGCCAGGCACTACAGGGACAGATGTGGTCCAGCGGCTCTGAGCAGTTGTGCAACCTCTTGGGCACCCCACCCCCCCCGCACATAGGGATGCTCTCAAACAGCCCTGGCCGTGGCGCTCCACCCCCTGCCACTGGTTGGTGGTTCATTCTGAATGGTGGCTGGCGGGGCTGCAGGCAAGGAGTTGCGGTAGAGGACTACTCCGGCTGGCCTCACCTCTTGCGCACGACACGGCAGTCATTCCCCCCTCCCAGCGCACGGGGGCGAGCCGCCCTTGGGGCTCTGGGCTTGGCCCAGCCCCGCGTCTCCACCGGCACTGGCTGCGCGCCTGGAAGCTGCTGGCTTCCACACACGGGTCCCCTTTGCTGCTCCAGCACCCCTTGGCCCCGAGAGCCCTCTGCTTCCTTCTGGGGCCGGTGGCTGCCTGGCAGCTGCAAAGCCGGCCCACCTGGAATTGGGGGAGTGGAAGCAACGCCGTGAGTCAGTGGCATGGTTACTTGCCAGGTGTTTGGGTGTTTTTTTTAACTTTCAGAATTTAATGAACAGCTTTAGTGGTAATTAACAAATTTCCATAATCATGCTGAATCAGTATCTATAGAGATAATAGCACCACACTTCAATATTTATGACATTTTCATAAATACAGAAAATTGGTAATGATCACAGCTGTGGAAGACGCCTCCTCGCCAGCCCTCCGCTTCCCTGAGGCAGCCACCCCCATTTCGTCTCCCGGTCGCCTCGCAGCTCGGGCGACTCTTCCTGCCGTGGTGGCTCCGGGCTCAGCCACACGTCCCCCGCCCCAGTGTGGAGAATGCTCTGGCCTGCCTGGGCCACTCGAGCACGCTTGCGCAGCCGCTTGCCTGCCTGGCGCCTGGCGATAGCAGCCGTCTCTCCGTGGACTGACTGGCACAGAAGAGCACTGCTTGGGCCTCTCGTTCCCAGCTTGGTGTCGTGGTTGAGAGCGGGGGACTCTAACCTGGAGAACCGGGCTTGATTCCCCCACTCCTCTTCCGCATGCAGCCGGCTGGGTGACCTTGGGCCAGTCACCACTCTCTCAGAGCTGCTCTCTCAGCCCCACCGACCTCACAGGGCAACTGCTGTGGGGAGAGGATGGGAAGGAGACTAAGCTGGTCTTAGACTCTGAGTGAAGTTGTTGTTGTAGTTTTTGTTGTTGTTGTTGTTCAGTCGCACAGTCGAATCTCAATTTCCAAATGGCTATGAAATAGCTCCCATGTTAGCCAGAAGACACTGTCCATTGTTGAGAAACTTCTGGCTAACATGGGAGCTATTTCATAGCCATTTGGAAATTGAGATTCCTACTATTGGATTGTTTGACCTATGGAATACGGAAGGGGGGGGCGCTAACCCCCCCTCCCCTTCAGCCACTGTGGCTGAGGCTCTAAGCAGGCCCCTGAGGCCCGGGGGCCCATTTCCAGGCCAGCAGGACTTAGACTGGGTGGGGGTGGATTCCTCCTCTCTGCAGGCCGTTGGGACAAGAGGAACACGGGCACCCGGCACTCCCTTTGGGGATGCACCCCGGCCAGCCCATCGATGGGGCTCTGACTGATAGCAGCATCTATGGACAGCTGATCAGTACTGACCCCTGGGCCTGACGGGGGGGGGGTGGCGGCAGAGGTCAGGTCAGATCAAAGGCACTAGGGGCAGGAACAACATTCCCCAGCCTGTCGTGCAGAGTTGTCCATCAATAACGGAGACACCTGTAGGCGGCCCCCCACTCCCCCCCACCAGCTGCATTCTTGGCCCCTGTCACTTGGAGGCTGAGTGCACACACACACACACACACACACACACACGCCCAAGGCCACCTTTGATCTTCTCCCCTCCCGGTGGTGTTCAAGGCCGAACAGTTGGAGGAGATCAAAAGGTGGCGGGGGGAGGGGTCCAGCTAGATGCCTGGGGAAGCACACGGCTCACACACACACCCCCACACACACCCCGGTCAGCCTTGCCTCCCCGTTCAGGGCCACCAAGGGAGGGGGACTGCGCCTGCCGTTCCCTCGAGGGGGGCCGTGCCCTCAGTCGCACATCTACAGGTCACTCGTGGCAAGCAGGAGTTTAATGGAAACACTCTCTGAAACCATCCGCAGGGGGCGTTCCTGGCCTCGCAGTCCAATGGGGAGAGAGGCTCCTCGGGAAAGGGGGCAGGTTGCTGGCGGATGCCACCGGGGTGCTGTCTTGCTTTGCTCGGCTCCTGCGTGTGTGTGTGTGTGCGCGTGGCACTTGGTCTACCTGCGGTATGCAAATAGTATTCAAATGAGGCCTCCATGTACAGACTGTCAGCACATACCCCAAAGCTCCCCTCGAGCAAAGGACTAATGGGAACATGTGTTCTTTCTATTTTTATAAAGTGGGGAGAATCGGGAGAAAGGAGGCAAGCGGGCGTCTCTTTGCACCGTCTCTCCAGCGTCTGGGCTGGCGCTCCGCAGCAGCCGTCCTCCTCGCCCGCCCCCACAGACCTGTGGGCACAGTCCGGCACACACCTGTGGCACTTGGGGGGCTGCTCTGGGTGGACTTCTTGTGCTCTTGAATGGTCCGCAGCCGCTGCAGGGGGGCTTGCCCGAGAGAGCTGGGGTGTGGATCCTGCCCCACGGCTGGCTGGCCGCCTGCTGGGGGAGGAGAGCGAGCGCCATAGCGGCAGGCCTTCTCCTCGGGAGCCAAGGCCCCAGGGAGGAAGGAGGCTGCCCGCCCACCTGCCCGCCCCAGGTGTTAGTTACAAAAAGAAATAAAGGCATGTAGTTGAGCAAAGTTTACTGAACACCTGAGGGAAGGGAAATAAAGTGGGCAACAAATGCTGTCCTCTCTCCCGCTGCCCAGCCCCCACTGCAACTGAGTGCCCGCGGGTGCTGTCCTCCCCCACTCCCCAGAGACTGGCCCCAACTTCTGCTGGTCAGTTCCACCGACATATCGACGGACCTCCTCCTGCCATCTTGGCCCTGAGAAGGAAAACATTGTTCTGAGGCCTTTTGGCTGCCCATCAAAGCAGTTTTGGTTTAGCCTCTGAGCATTCACGGATTGCAGATTGAACATTCACCTTGCAAAGTCGTACATTTTCTCACCAGTGCCTGGGTGAGGTGTCCTTTCACATCCCGCTTGGGTCCTGAGAGTGATCAATGGAGAAAGCTTCCTGTGGGGCTGTGAGGCCCGTTCGGTGGAAACGCTGGTTTGGTTGCTGCCCCCAGGCTGTGGAGCCCCCCCCCCCCCCGAAGCTGACACGTTCTTGCCACTGCAAGCCTGGGTGGATGGGGGGTACAGTCCTTTCCCTTCTGGAAGACCTTTGATCTGACTGGCTGCTGGAGGGGGGGCCACTCCCTCTTTGATGCGGCTGGTTTTAAGAACACTGTTTCTATAGTTGGAAATGGGGTTTTAGAAGCCTTTTAGGGTCATCCCAAGCCTCCCTGAGGGTCCTGCACGGAGCTGAAGGGTGGCACAGAAATGCCCAAACAGGGAATGACCAGGCAGCCTTTCGTGTCATAAGAACATCAGAAGAGGGGCCCTGCTGGGTCAGACCAGTGAGGGCCCGTCCAGTCCAGCCTCCTGTCTCTCACAGTGGCCTCAACCAGTTCCTCTGGAGGGCCAGCAACGGGGCAGAGAGGCCGAGGCCTTCCCCTGATGCTGACTGCCTCTGAATGCGAAGGTTCCCTTGAGTCACCATGGCCAGACCTCTCCTCCATGAATCCGTCTCATCCCCTTTGAAAGCAGGCGTCCGTGCCTGTGGCCATCACCACACCCTTTGGCAGTGAATTGCACATTTGACTCCCACCCTCCTGGCCTTCTGCAGACTATGCAAAACAGAATTGTTCAAGAAGAAGGGGTTTTGCACAGGTAAACCGAACTGTCCTGTAGCGAAATGGCCGGAGGGTGGCGTGGGCCGAGGGGCAGGGTCCGTGGGCGCCGCTCTCTGCGGCTCTGCCCCCAGGCCAGGTGCTTTGGGCACCACTTCACAGGTCATGTTTAAAGGCTCACACTTCGTCCCAGCCCTGCTCGAGACCTCGGTCTCTTTTCCGATTCCTGAAGTCCAAACCCTACTGAATGTTGCTCACTGAATGTCTCATCCTACTGGTTGTAACTGATGTACACTACCTAGTGATGATGATGATGATGATAGCAAAGATTGCGGTCAGGGTCACAGAACTGATTGACCCTCCCGGTAGGGTTGCCAACTGCACTTACCCCTCATGGTGGGGGAGCCTCGCCGCGGTCCGGGAGTTGTTGTAGGACGCACGCGCGCGCCGGCAGCACGTCACCAGAAGTGACGTGCGACGTTGCTGACGTTGGGGGCGTGGCCGAGCTCGTCGGGGGGAAAACCATATGGGGGGAAACCATATGGTTTTCCCCCCAACGAGCTCGGCCACGCCCCCAACGTCAGCAACGTGCTTCAGGGGGCGGGGTTCCCCCTGGGGCCCAATTCAGCCGTGGCGGAAATTGGGCCTCCGAAGCGGGGGATTCCCCACCCCCCGGGCGCACTTGGCAACCCTACCTTCCGGGCCCCAAGGAGGCCAGGCTCTCCACTCCCAGGGCCAGGGCCTTCTCAGTGGCGGCTCCTACCTGGTGGAACGATCTCCCAGGAGAGATCAGGGCCCCGCGGGATCTTCTACCGTTCCACAGGGCCTGCAAGACGGAGCTCTTCCGCCAGGCCTTCGATTAAGGTGCCGCCCTGACTACTACCATCAACAAGCCCGGCCCTCAGCCTTCACATTGGGCCTAGTCCATTGTGTGTCTCAAGAAGACCACTGAGTTGGATTGTCTGCTTGCAAACATTTTTAGTAGGCCACCTCAGGTAACTAATGAAGGACTACCAGCACTTGATGATTTTATGATTCATCTGAATGGTTTTAACTTGATTTTATGTGTTTTACCGGCATTTCTGTCCCAACTGTGCAAGCCGCCCTGAGCCCGCTGGCGGGGAGGGCGGGGTATGCATGGAATAAATAAATAAATAATAAATAATACGAATCCCTCATTGTGTGCGGAAGGATTTCCTCTCGTCTGTCCTGGATCTGCCGCCCGCCAGCTTCACTGGATGCCCTTTGAGTTCTAGTACCGTATTTTGGGAGAGGGGAGAAGAGCTCTCTCTGGCAGGTCTTCGAGATCCGTGCCTAATCGTGTAAACCTCCCCTCTCCCCTCCCCTCCCCTCCCCTCTCGCGTCCGCCTGCCTTGCTGCCCCCGGCTTGACCTGCCTTGATGCCGCTGGCTGGCTGCAGATTGGGGAGAGAGAAGGGCGGAGGATGCTGGGTGGGGTGGGGGGGCAGGAGCAGACTCCCCCTCTCGGGGATCAGCCTGAATGCAGACCAGGTTGCAGCCATTAATCAGGCAGGGGGCTCGTCTGTGGGGGGAACAGACGGAGAGTTCAAGGGCAGGGCCCAGCCTGTGCCTCTGACCTTGCTGGGGTCAGGGGAGGAGGGGCCTGCGGGCCTCTGGAGCAGAGGGCCCGTCTAGGGCGCTGCAGACAATAGCCCCGTCCCCACGGGGCTGGCTGCCTCACAAAGGGGGCCTGCCCTCCTCCTCCCTGGACGTGACCGGCTTGTTTGGCCTCCCATTTAGGCCCTTCCTGTGCTCAGTGTGTGGGGGGGGGGGGGGGGGGGGGGGGTGGCGCAATGCTGCATCTGCAAACCTTGCAGTGAAGGCAGGAGGCTGAAGCAGGCAGGCCTGCGTGGTGCAGTCAGTCTGGGGTCCTCGGGGCAGAGTGGGGGGCAGGCGTCACATCCTGGAGGCACAGGTGCCCCATAGCTGCCGGCGTGCATGGGACTGGAACTGCGGAGACTTAGGAGGACGTGAATACGCATGCTGCCTGTGGAGCCCTGTGGCAAAGGTGTCCCTGTAATCTAATTGACCAACTTCAACCAGGAGAGTTCATCTAATTGCAAATTGAGCCTTTTGTGGTCCCCTAACCAGTATCATGGGAAGTGACTAAGTTCATTTCGTCTCTTTGAAGCAGAAGATTTCCATCTGTCAGAGGAACGGTGGGATAAGAGAACCTTCGCACCTTACGGGAATCCTTCCTGCCCAGGAACCGCCACTTAATGCGCGGCATCATCATCCCTACTGATGCACTAATCACTGGGAAGCCTCGCCCACAGAGGCTGCCGCTCGGTCAGGCTTGAATCGGACGCGGGAAGAAGACCTGCTCAGGCTCTGCTCGGTTTGTCCTGGGAGGAGGGGGCGGAACTCATCCCCCTGGCCCTGCAAGTGGGTACGCAGTCCCAGGTCTGCTTAGCAAGAGGCACTCAGGATGGGTTGTCATTTTGTGCCTGCTTTTGTCAAGGCGGAGAGAAGGAGGCACCCGGCTCAGTGAGAGATCCAGCAGAGAAGATTCCCTGGGCTCTCCGGTCTTTGCTTCGCTTCCCTGGCCCTGGTGCATCTCCTGCTGCCCAGAATGCCACACCAGAAGGTTGCCTGTGCCGCCTCCCCCCCCCCCCCCCCCCCCCGGCCGCCCGCGACAAGCGGGGGCCCTTGCAAGCACGCTGCCAGTGCAGGCCCTCCGGGGGATTAAGAACATAAGAGAAGCCAAGTTTGGATCAGGCCAATGGCCCATCCAGTCCAACACTCTGTGTCACAAAGTGGCCAGAAATACCAGGTGCCATCAGGAGGTCCGGCAGTGGGGCCGGGACACTAGGAGCTCTCCCACTGTTGCCCCCCTGAACCACCAAGAACACAGAGCATCACTTGCCCCAGACCGAGATTTCCTATCTATACCTTGCGGCTAATAGCCACTGATGGACCTCTGCTCCATATGCTTATCTGATTCCCTCTTGAAGCTGTCCAGGCTTGTAGCTGCCACCAACACTGGCACCCACAAGATGATGGTGTGCCCGTGTCACAGGGATGCTACAGAAGACGCATGAAGACCAGTCTTTGGGGCTAGTATGACTCTAAAGCACTTACTGACCCACCAGGTAGAAATGAACTGGACTGCCAGTTGTGAATGATTTGTTGGTTGCTGTATTTGCTACACTGGTAGGCTGATGTTAGGGTGAGCAGTACCATTTACACAACAAAAAGCCAGAAGAGTCTGGGACTTTTCCATCAAAAAAAGAAAAAAGAAAACTGAGCAGGGACTTGATAGAGGTGTATTACAAGCAGGGGACACACAAGGACTTGGGGGGTGTCTCATGTAACTCTCCCCCACATTTCCTTTTCCCCTTCCCTGGCAGGCCCCATAGCCTCTCTCATTTTCCTGTTTCCTTCTCTCTTTCCCACCCACCTTTATCAGCCCCTCTGCCTTCAGTTTTCCTTCCTTTACTCCTCCAGTAGCTTCTACTTGTGAAACCTATGGCCCACTGGTGTAGTGGCAGCCCTGGGGCCCAGTTACACAGTAGGTAACCCACAAGGACTTACAGGGGGCGCCTGACTTTCCCCTGTATCAGCCTCCCTACACTATTTCTTCCTTTCCTCCTCCGGGCAACCCCCATATCCTCACCATTCCCTTCTTCCTTCCCTGCTTCCCACTTGCCAAGCAACCTACCTTTTATCTGCCCGGTGTCTTCAGCAAGATTGTTTGTTTATTTACATTGCTCCCAACGGGGATGCCCCCCCCCAAAAAGCAGCTTACATCAGTCTCTCCTCCTCCATTTTATTCTCACAGCAATGGCTTCGTCTGCATGA